AGGGGTGGATTTGTCCCTGTGCCCACACCTGCTTCCTTCCCCTCCCTCCCACAGGTGTAGGAGTCTGCTTCCTGGGGGACCCCGTATGACATCACCAATCCCCCAGCATGAGAAAGAACCGACCCTGGGAGTAGAAAGATCCCAGTTCAGGAGTCCCTGCCCCTACAGGCCGTGTGACATGCCCATGTCCCTCAGCTGCTCTGAGTCTCCTGTTCGGCAGGTGCTAAGTGTGTGTGTGGGGGGGGTGGATACAGGCAGGCTGTTCACAAGTGGAATGAGCACTAGCCTTGGAGTTCACCGGGTTGAGTCCCAGCTCTACCACTTCCTTGCTGAATGCCCTTGAGTGGTGGCTCCACCTCTCTAAGCCTACTTTTCTCACCTGTGAGATGAGAGTAGAAAACCTACCTCATTGGACATCCTGAGGATTGAATAAGAGAATGTGTGTTAAAGGGCTTAGGACAGAAGCTGAGCCCAAAGCAAATATCTGATAGGCAGTGGTTACTCTGTTTATTATTATTATTAGAAACAGGTGGCCTCCCCTTCCCCTTCCTCTCTGAAATCAATAAAGATATTTTTTTTAAAAAGTGATATTCTGCCAACGCAGCATTAAGTAAGAATGAACTTTGAACAGAGGCTGTGAAAATTCCAGGAACCCTCTGAGTGGGGTCAGGGTGAATGTGAAGTTGCCGTAAAATAGGGAGCTCAGCCTGAACTTTATGACTGCGAGGGGCAATTTCGTTGGAAACTGGTCTCCAGCTATAGCCCCAAGTTGTGTGGAGGGGAGCAGAAAGGGCGACAGGGAGGAAGCCGAAGGTCTCACCTCTATGTCCCAGGAGCCCACTGGAGAGCAATGCCTATTCTTAAAGCACTTGTAAGTCATCCAGAGTCTAGCCTCTCTCGCCAGCCTATCCCAGCGCCCAGGCTCTCCGCCGACGTTTCCTGTAGGGTCCGCTGGGTCCAGAATCACAGGCCTGAGGAACAATTAGAGAGGGACAGCTGAGAAGCTGGGCTGTGTCTCAGGGGTCTAGATGCTCCTGCAATTGTGAAACACCAGCCTGGGGCAGGGTGGGACTCGGGGTAGGAGGAAGGGCCCAGCAGGGTGCTGCTTGCTGGGGAGTGTCCTGGGTGCCTTGCTCCGTGGTGGGCAGTGAACCCCAAGAGAAGGAGCCTCACACTTGGGCCTTCCTGACCTGAGTTTGAATGTCACCTCTGCCCTTTATTTGTGGGTAGGTCACTTGTGCTTTCTAAGCTTCAGTTTTCTCATCTGTGAAATGGGGCAAGGCGAACATGCCCACCTTGAAGGAGGTATTATGTGGAGTGATTTTTAAAAAAATATATCTTTATTGATTCCAGAGAGAGGAAGGGAGAGGGAGAGAGAGAGAGATAGAAACATCAATGATGAGAGAGTCATTGATCGGCTGCCTCTTGCACGCCCCCCACTGGGGGTCGAGCCTGCAACCCGGGCCTGTGCCCTGACTGGGAATCGAGCCTTGATCTCCTGGATCCTAGGTCGATGCTCAACTGCCCAAGAGACGCGGCGCCTCCCACTCCCTCATTTCCAAGGCACCACAGGGGCCATCTATCGGGGGGAGGGGGAGCCCTGGGGGGACAGAGTACCTGGGTTTCTGGAGCTGCCTCTTCACGTACGGACCAATCACAGGATGTGCAAGGTCGTAATACTTTGTCCAGTAGATGCAAAGCTTCTGGTAGTTGGTGACCAATGTCAAGACGGTGTGGAACCCCTGAGCTGTGACGAAGTCCGTCTTCCTTCCTGCGCGCTCCCACGCGTGGACGGTCAGGAGCTCCAGGGCGTACTGAGGAGGCAGGGGCTGCCCAAGCTTCTCCTTACACTGAGGGGGGAAAAGCAGCCAGAGAAGGGGGTCTGGCCGGCCCTGTGGCCAAAGGCAGCCTCCCGCTCGCTGCTGCAGGTGGTTCCCAGGCCCCAAGTCGGGCCCACTCGCTTATGTGTCGTCTGTGGCTGCTTTCGCGCTCCAAGGACTGAGCGGAGTAGACGGGACAGAGACCGTGTGACTGACCCACAACGTCTCTAATAGTCACCACCTCGCCGTGTATGGAAAAAGCTCGCTGACCCTGGTTAAGGCCGGGGCTCTGGGTTCTGACCGATGTGGGTTCGAATCCTGGCTCCACCTTTGTCTGACTCTGGGCAGACAACTCATCGGAGCCTCATGTCTCTCACCTGCCAAGTGAGTGGTGATAACAGCATCTACCTCCTAAGCATATTATGAACACGAGCTCAGAGGAAGCACTCCAAGTGTCCCTAAGCGCCTTACAGAAGCAGACAAAAGTCCCTCTGCAGAAGACACGTGTCATCTCAGAAATCATTTCAAGCACAGTGACCAGCACATACGTAACCAGGCACACAGCGACACAGGACACCAACAGCAATGACCAGCAGGGAAAAAAGAAACTAGCAATCAATTCACAAAACTCTAAATACGGAAGGGTCCAATATAGACTTTAAAAGAACCAGGGACACTATATCCAAAGAAAGAAAAGAAGAGCAAGAAATTGCAGGGACTTAGAAGTCCCCCCCACCCCGCCCCCGCTGGACAGGATGACCAGACCTTCTGGTACCAGTGCTTGACCAGGCGGACCAGGCTCTTGAGCTTGGCCGGACGCTCTTTCAGGAAGGCTCGCTGCAGCTCTGTGAAGCACGAAGAGAACTCGCCCTCCACCCCCAGGCTCTTGCACGCTTCGATGAGCTTCACGTAGACGCTGGGGTCAGGTCTGTAGTGTTCCGTCACTGTCACCTGACCTGTTAGGGACAAATCCATAACTTTAAGATGTCAGCTCCTCCCTGAGGTTCTTTCAGTCGCTAGCTGGCCGTGGGTGCAGTGCGATGGGCCATCTCCAGTCCGTCCCCCCGCCCCATCCACTGCCATCGCCCTGTCCACGCCTTGAAGGTGACAGGCTTCTGCAGGATCCGCTGTCCTGGCTGCTGTCTCGGTCACTGCCTCTTCTCTCCATTCATCCTCAGCGTCTTGCGTTTCCCCCGCTACTCAGATCTTTTCTAACCTCCAGGTCTTCGCCTGTGCTGTTCCCTCTGCCTGGCATGCCCTTCCTCCCCTTCTCTCTCTTCCCGTCTTATTTTTTGGAACCATCGCACCCCAGCAGCCAACACAGGACATGACAACCAGGAGATATTGCTAAACTTTTTCATTTCCTGGCGTTTTTCTCGTGGGTCTCCGCCTAGGCCCAAAGAAATCCCTAACAGGTTCTGTTTATTAAGTAGCTCAGTCCCTACAACTTAATAGTAGCGGTTTGCACGGTGTCCGATAGGTGGCGCTGTGTTTCCCTTAAAAATTTAAAATCTGAACTTTTCGAGCTAGTTCACTGGGGTGTCCTGGGGTGCCTTGGTGCACAGTGGGGGAACTCTCATTTTTGAACACCGACTATGGGCCAGGCCCTGTGTAAGAGCTTAATGTAGATGACCGTTTAACACTTAAAAAAAATAGCATGGCATAGCTAGTGTGGTTTTACTAGTTTTCCACCTGTGGGCATTGAGCCTCCGAGAGGTTACGTTGCCCCGTCCACGTGCACATTACCCATAGATCCCAACCCTCAGAGTAAGTCTGATGAGGTTTCCTCATGTTTTTGGGTAAAAGATGAAATTAGGATGCCAGATCTATGCTGCTGTTTTTTTAGAAAGATAAAATACTTTGCTGTTTCATGTCACTCCTGGGGCCGACCAGACTGTCTTCATTCTTGCCCCAGGAGAGAATCTAAGATCCCTTCCCCATTTTAAAGGGATGCCCTCTTTTGGGAAGACTGTCAAACTGTGAAAGATTGCCCATCAGAAATATATAAAAAGAGAGAGAAAGAAGCCCTGACATAGGACAGAGGCTGGAAACAGCTTGTGTCAGGGGCGCTCACCCAGGATATCAAAGGCCGGCAGGACATCGAACTCTACCAGCTCCGGGAGGCAGTTCCCGAGCGTGAAGCCGAGTGCGCGTGGGTTCTCCCACACATGATCCTGGACCTCAAACTTCACGGTAAGCTTTCCCTCCCTTCGACAGGCCTCTAGCTGTGTTTTTATTTCCTCGATGAACTCTTTTCGGCAATTGTACTGCTCCTGAAAACTTTTGAGGGAGCTTATGAAGACGACGAGATCAGCGTCAGACCGGCTTTTGAGTGTAGTGCCTTTGCCGGAGGAGCCACCCTAAAGCAGAGACGGGAATTAGAACTAACATTCCTTGAGCAGAGCCTCCCTAAGTAAAGTGATGCGCACAATCACTAACATTCTTGGGCACTAGCCACTGTTCCAAGGGCATTACCGGTCTTCCCTCCTACGAGGCTCCTCCCAAAGGCTTTGCTATCTAGGCATTATTATTATTAGTGCCCTTTTTTTTACAGGTGGGAAAACAAATGCTCAGAGAGATTATCTATCAGCCTAAGGCATGGCTGGTAGTTGGCAGAGATGCAATTCAAACCCCAGCTGCCTTGTTCTAGAGTCTGGAGTCTTCACTCCCTGGCCTTGACTGCCTTATATCGTTCTATACTGTAGTCTGGCCCATGCCGGGTGGTTTAATGAATCTGCACAGCCCTATAAGGTACTGGGAATTATGGACAGGAAACCGAGGCACAGAAAGGTGACTTTCTCAAGGTTTAACAGCCAGCGGGTGCTATATGCCTTTTGAAATTATTATTATTAAATTTACTGGGGGTAACGTTGGTTAATATAACATCATATAAATTTCTGGTGTACAACTTTGTAATACGGAATCTGTATACTCTATTGTGTGCTCACCACCCAAGTCCAGTCTCCTCTTGTCACCTTGTGTTTATTTGACCCCCAACCCCTGCTCACCTCCGGTAATCAGTATTATGTCAAAACTTAGACTCAGCCTGGCCGTCAATTAGCAGATTGTTGAGCAGAGCTGGGCCTCAGTTTCCCTGTCTCTGAAACGGACGTGGCCCAGGACAGCGGCTCATGAACCTCACCAGGGATAACCGTTAAACAATGACAGATGTAGGACCTCAGCCCAGAGTCTGTTTCCACAAGCTGCGGTTGTATTTTTGGCGTGGATCAATTTGAACCTACCAGCCCCAAAGACCTCAACCCTCTGCTCTCTTTCTCTGTGGAAATTCCTGTCCGTTCAAACCCCCCC